ATGCATTTTTTGTGTAAACTGATAGTTTTCGAGAAAATTGACGTTAAAGATTAAAAACTTTGGTAAGTAGGATGAAACACGGGGGGTTCGGGGGCGGAGCCCCCCGTGGGGAAACGGTTGCTGGCGGGGAGGGGGGCAGGAGGGCGGAGCTTCTCCCCCGCCTATTACATAGCTAGTGTCTATTATAGAAGTTGAAAATAACTTTCAAACACAATATGCTCTCTACCTTGCGTAGGGGTCTTGCTAATCTTTTCAGTATCAAATATTTTAATATATTGTAGACTCATCATACCTTTAGTAAGGCGAAGATTTAATTCATATAAACTTTCTGCGCGCACACACCTTGCGTTGGGGTCTTGCTAATCTTTTCAGTATCTAGTATTTTTAGTATATTGTAGACTCATTAGATTTTTAGCAAGGCAAAGATTTAATAAATATACATAAATTGTATACGCACACACGCCGCTACATTTTTTAAACGGCATGCGTATGCAAGCTAAGGCCTACCTGTTTACCAAAGTTTTTAATCTTTAACGTCAATTTTCTCTAAAGTTATCAGTTTTACACAAAAAATGCATAGAACATAAATAATGTATTTTTACAAGAACTACAACTTTTATTTGAAACATTTATTTGTTATGTCAATATTTATTGAAATAATGTTAAAAAGTGATATTTTTTCAGTTTTTTTGGTAGTTTTGACCTTGAAAATGACCTTGTCAGCAATTTTCATTATCATATTCGTAATCAGCGCGCCAAAATACATAAAATAGTGCAGTTTCAAAAAAATCGGGCGTTTCACCTATTCAGAATTTTATCCCATCTTATATATATGATATATAATATTATATTCATCTTTAATGTTATAATATAAAAAGAGTTCGGAATATATAATTATGTGAAAAAATTAATGAAGTAATGTATACTTATATAAAATAATAAAATTGTGAATTTTGTATACTTTAAAAAAAGTTTTAATATATGAAAAATAATGAAAAAAAGCAATGTAAATTCGATATTTGCAAATGCTATTTTTTCTTTGTTAACTTATGTTCAGAAGCATAAAGATTTATTAAAATATCTAGTCACGTGTGCAACACCAGATCTGTTATTAGAAGACTAACCATAATTCCAACTAATAAAACCTTTGTAGGTCCAAAAAGTTTCTTCTATATAAATAAATATAAATATGTAATTGAGAGATATGTTCCAATTATATGAAAAATAAAAAGTTAATATAACCTTGAAATATATTTAATCTGGCTCTATCAATACCCATTGACTGCAAATAATTGATGAAATTATTTGATGATGTCGCAACAGCAGCCTCTATTTGTTGTTACAGAAGTAGCTGTAAATATGGAAAGAATTATGTGATATAATTATAATACTATCGAGAATACTACAGTATTAAAATTCTTTTCTTTTGATATATTTGATACTCAAACAGCACAAAAGATTAAGACACCTTTTTGTTATGAACAAATTTTTATATATTGTTTAAACTGATTAAGAATATGAACAGATTATAAATATTTATATATAAATATTATAATAAATATATAAAATATTAAGTTAATATTTAAGTTAATATTCAGTTAATATTTAACACAATATTTATAGCACAAAAATTCATAAATGATAAGATCAGGCCAAGTTCCAAAAAAGACACTCCAATATGTTTATATTTTAATAATAATCTGAATTTTTAATATATTACCAACATGAAAAGTAACTGATATATTGTTCAAGGTGCAAATTCAAAATAAACATACATAAAATATACATAAAATGTATAAATAAAACTGATCATAATTTGATTCTAGAAAGTAAGTGATATATTATTCTTAGTGCACATACAAAATTTTTAAAATTTAATTAAAATAACAAAATATTTATTAAAAATACAA